CTTCTGAGGTCACTCTTGCCAGTGGACTCAATGGACTCCAGTTTCCGAGGCCGTCCACAGTCGGTAGTCATCCACATCGGAGCTTGCAGCTCCACCGTACACTCCAACGCGAATGGTATCCTAGAAGCTCCTCATTCCCAGATCGAGATCAATGTTCCGAGTTCCGCATATACGTGAGCGAGCAAATGCAAATGCCAAGAAGATTCAGATGAATTGAAATTCCTCTAACGCGACGGGAATTAATTTCTTCCATCGGGCGATTCGTGATCAGATTCTGAGTTTCCAGCTTCACGAGATTACCAAGCCAGCTGCGGATTCGGATCCAACCACCAAAGTCGTTACTGGCAAGATTGAGATTTCTGAGAGTAGAGACTTCGCTGAGACAGCCTGCGCTTGCATACACCGATGGAATCCACTGCCGTGCAGAGTATACATGAAATAATGAATGAGCTCCCTCGCGATGAAGGATTTGAGTACTGCAGGTCTCATGAATGTAACCGCATCTGAGTTTCTTATTCAGAGTACGTACTGTGTACCGTGGCGAGAGCTCAGCGGTGAGCAGTGCACGCGATGACGAAGCAAATCCGGTGCAAAATTCCCGCTTCAGGAACCTGCAGTCGGGATTGCGAAACCTGCCGAGGGCCTCGAAACCGCCTCGTCTGTTGTAAATCGTAGTATAGTAGTTTACAATGTTCTAATTCGTTCCAGATCTCATGACATGCTCTTTCCATACATTCTTACTCGGGAAATGCAGAACGGAATGCGGAAAGCTGAAAGTGCCCGCTCTTGGGTAACGTATCCAGATCTTTTCTGTTGCACCTGCGATTTAGCATAAAAAATTCCACACAACTTCAGAGTTGGAATCCGATGATACGGAGGGCTGGCCTTGTACAATGACAGTACGGTACGATCGCTCGCATGCATGTGTGTCACCGATTGGAATTTGTACGTCAATTTGGTGTATGTATGCTTAGAAAACATGGTATTGGCAGGAACACAGTGACTGCCTACGGAAAAGCGGTACGATTACGTTTTATCTATTTGTGAGCGATAGAAATCCTCCCAAAAGTATTGGGCCGCCCGAGAAGCTCAGACAGACACGAATTCGAATGGACGTGCTGCAGAAGGATTTCCCATTTTTTATTCATACTCTTATCTGAAATAATCAGTTTCGAATCGCAATACGGGTGTGAAATACACTCGAGGAGTTGCCTAGAGATCTGATGGTGTCAGAGAGAATCGAGATAAAGCAAGTAGCTAGTGGAGGGTTAAAGTGAAGAGTGTGGTCAAACACATTCGGAAGATAGAGCTCAACATGGAACGATCAAAAGCTGGGCAAGATTGAACATTGTACAGTACAGAAGCAAAATTAAAGAAAAATCCACAAAGTACAAATGTGTAGTAACTGTCAGACTCATCAGAGATAGCTTTATTGGAATGGCTTTTAATAATCTGATATTCTTCAAACAATTTCAAGTTTGACTAACTTTATTTTTGTTCGATAAGATTTATGACCTCATGAATTAACTTGTACAATACGATCTCCTTGATGGTGTTCTTAGCAATGTAACCCTAAACACCATCATAACAAATTAAGAAGATTAGAAAAATTAAATTGAACATTTGAGGCCCACTAAAGGTAAAATTAATATTAACACAAATGATTACGTGCATAAATTTGATTTGATTCGATTGAAATATCCCTTAATCCCTATTACACATATAGATGAAGTACCAAAATATGTATATATACAATTTTTTGTTAATAATGGATTCTCACAACGATTTTCAAGGTCTGCTAATAACAATCAAATTCTCATGAAAAAAGTTTGTCTTCATACAACGTATGTAAAAAACTTTATTACTCAATTTCAAAATTTGTACTGATTAATTTAATCATATATCTCAAAATTAAAATCAGTTTCCTAAAACTAGGCATAACAAAGAAAGGTGATAAACTTCTCCTGCCTACTATGAAATCTTAACCCAGCCAGTTTTCATAAGATTTTAGATATATTTTGAAAGAGTTTGCAAAAAAACATCTTTGAAATTACATGTGTGAAATTTTATTGAATTAAGTTGACAAATAAATATATATAATCACAAGTCAATATAAAAAAAGCTTTTTATAATAATGAAACATAGATTTTTTTTACTACTGTACATTTTCAAGCTTTTTTGTACTTTGAAAAATATTTTAATATTCAAATTGTGTTGTAATACGAGCATTAATCATTAAATCAAATAATATTCATTTTATATTGATATAAGTGTATTTATTGAATGAATGTTTAAAAATATTCAAATTTTCTCTCGCTTAAGCTTTTTTGGATTTTTTACTGTCATTTTTATATAAAAAGTTGAAGATTTTTATAGATTTCACAATAATAAAACAATAGTTTCAATAAAAAACTCGAATAAAAAACTTTTAATTTAACCAATCCAAAATAAAATATACCTTTAAGTCTCAAATCATTGTAATCTGATCCCATATAAATCATGTTCTGAAAAAGCCATTATTCATTATTTAAAATTTATTAATCTATGCTATTGACAATTTTTTAAAATATACTTAAACTTTATAATCACATGAATTGAATGTACACATGCAAATGTTTAATAAAAAATTTAATACTGATGAAGAATATATTTTGTTAGAATCAAAATGCATCATTTTTTTATTAATTTTGGATTTAATTTATTTTTTAACTAAATATTTTAGAAAATATATGTGTTGAAGATATTCGATTCATTCTTATCTATCAAAATATCCAGAATGTAAAAAGGTTAAAATAACTTTTATAGCAAAATGTAGAGAAAAGCAAAAAATATTTGCTGTTTCCATGAAAGACATTAATGATGATATTTTAATTTCTTTGATTGTTATAAAATCATTGTGAGGTATCATGAGAGAAAAATTACTTATATTTTAAGAGTACAAAAGATAAAAATAATTAAGAATTAGCCGTATATGCTTTAATGTTATAAAGTTTTCCTAATTTTTAGCCACGCTTATATTAATTAAATTAAAGATAAATGACTAAAATAGAAAATTACATCTTATTTCAAAATAATGTTCTTTTCACTAGTCATTCATGCATTTTTATAGCAAAATAATTCTCCAAAGTTACATTAATATTGAAGCATCTGTATATCAATCATCAATAGATTATATTCAACAGACTCTCTTAGAAGATATTATATTCTGCATTTTACTGAAAATTGATATGTGTTGAATATTTCACGTTTTCAGTCGTATCAACTGTATTCATCATTTGAAAATTTACATTAATCTATGAATGAAAGACAACCAATAAAGGTCAAACACTTAAATCAAAGTCGAAATTAATAAATTCAAATATTACATAAATTATTATTTTCATTTCAAAGAATTTTCTTAATTTTTTATTAATATATTTACATATTTTCTAAAAAAAATTATTACAAGTCATGGTGTATAAAAATTATTTCGTAATAAATATATGTTTCAAATCCAAAAACGCAATTTTTCACATTCGCATCTGACCAGAATGTTGAATGAGACAGTGAATACCTTTCTTATAATTTTTTGCTTTTCAAATTCAAATGATTGTTACAGACATGTGAATTTTGTCATGATATTTCATTCATGTGCTCTTATTTTGTTCAACTAAAATTATGATGTTTCAAATTATTATCAAGGTCCATAAATGTCTAAGTGATGAAAACTAAATCAATTCGTCACATTGTGCAATTGAAAGATGTTGGATAATCATCTTTTTTTTCAAAAAAGTAGTCTGGTTTATAGGAAAGATTCTTGTGGTGTAGTAAAACAGATAATGTATAATATGATCACGCTAATTTATGGCATCTTCAAATGAGTTTGAAGTTCAAAGCAAGTGAGGTATCAAGTTTCATTCATTTTTTATCTCTTAAGTTTGAAATTTTGAACAGTGTTTTGGTTTTTTCGACTTTTCCTTACATTCAAGTTTAAGGCCAAATGATTTAAATACATCTGCGAATGTAAAAATTTTTTTTATAGAAGTGTGGTTCTTACCAGTTCGCTGAATGCGACAAAACGATCTCCTTTGTATCATTGTTTTCATTTATGTGAAAGATAGGAAGTCAGTCACATTCTCCGTCCAGTTAGTCTTTCTGTATTCCTAAAAAATCTTCAAATCAACTCATCTCTTTGGTTCCTACAAACAATTAAATCTATTAGAATTTGAAAACTTAAGCAAAACTCCCACTCTCTAGTATTTTCTCTTGTTACTGTACAGTACTTACATATTAAAACTTCATAGCTTGACCAGAAAACCTAAACAACGATACACTGAGTTGCTGTCCTCTGAAGCCACATCACCCAATTAGCTGGAGATTAACTTTGATATCCCCTCTTCGTCAAAGCTAGAGATAGAAGACCGTGTTGTCAGGGTAGAGTTTATTAATTTCCTCCCCATCAAGGATGCATAGGATGCATCTTCGCTACGCCAATCCGATGTTTACAATCCATATGACGCATTTCCTGTCCAATGTCGGATACAACACCTCAGATCTTGATGAATAGTATAATAGGTACTACTTTCTCTCTTCGTGCTAACACTCGTTGGAGACGAAAATCCCATATAGGATGGAAAGAAGCATCCCCACACAAGTCGAGCTCTTCACTTTAACGGCATGTAAAGCTAGAGTCCTGAGTGGTATCGATAATGGAGCTCTTGGCTCCGTCACAGAGTTCATAAGAGCCAAATATAAAAAATAATATTAAAAAAATCCATTTCATGATGAAATTATTGATTTCTTCACTTTACCTTAGTGAAGAAACTGAATAATGAGATGAAGAAGGTTAATTACCTGCTCCTATGCCAGGTGTTTATTCAGGTCAACACATGTGTTATATACTTAAACACGCCGTAAATCACCAGGACTGAACATGATGATATACAAGTTACAAGGTACTTCACATCAAGATTCGAAACACCTACAAATTCTGTAACAACTCCTATAAAACGTAGGTTCTTTACTGAAATTACCGTTGAACGCTAAATGGCAGTTCTGAACCCAATCGTTGTCGCATGGTTACTTGAAATGTCTCAACGGCAAAATCTATTGTTGGAACAAGCCCCCAAACCTATGAAGAGAATGGAAAAAGGACTAAGATAAAATAGTATGAGAAACTGGAATATAATTATAGATCTTAATGCGGTAGTAATCAAAATACTCAATTGCGGAAAAATGATCCAGAAAAGAATGCCACATGAGCCTTGCCCAGTCCGAAGGAAGTGGCATCAGCCGCGGAAATTAAAGTGGTTCAAAAGCAAAGGTCTTTAGATTTCTCTCTCCTTTGAAAAGTTATTTGAGAATACTGAATAAGACAGACAGGCGGAACGAATAAGAATGTAAAGAGGGTTCTCAAAACTTGTTCCGTCTATATGATAGTCTTCCCAATTTTTTAGGTATTTACTCGCCACCTTTCCATCTCTAAAGGGATGATGGTGATTGGATTCCTGACGTGTCTGACTAAAACTGTTGATATGCCTTGTATTAACTGTAGATGTGGCGCTTGTTCACAGGTCCACGTGTTGAACATTCTCTTCAAGTTCTTTCTCATGCCGATGATTCTAGAAGCGTATAGGTACGGCTCGCCACACTATGTTGAAAAGTCCACATCCTTCATGGAGACAACACACTACCGCAGGCTTTGATGAATGATGCTCCATTCCAACGATGTACTCGACTTGTAAGTCGTCTCGTACTTCTCTGAGTCTGCCACCGCCTTTCCATCCCAGAACCCAGCGTGTATAAAAAAGGTCAAACTGGACCACTTCGTCAGAAACAGAAGGTGATTACGATATTCTTTGAAAGCAGTTTTCGTAATTTCAAAGCTATCCTGTCCTTAGTTTTCCATCAAACCTCCGAGCTTTTACTTCTTTGAAGATCATGCAGAATACATTTGACGCCCGTGTGTAACCAACGAGTCTTGGACGTACCAACAGTGAGCTTTGGCAAACATGATGTTGCTTTATTGCTTCAGAGCAGGCCATCAATGTAAATTACACTGCTACATACGCTACCACCTCTTCCCCTAGACGGCTGTCATAAATCTCGTTCATTCTAAATTGTGAATTGGGCTTCTACATCTGAAGCTGCGTTTAACAGTCCAGATGATCAATGAGCGATAACCAGAGTTTCCAAATAAAAAACCTGCACTGATAATTGTCCTGACTTATCTGTACCAATGGGTACATCTATAACAGCTCACAAAAGATCTCTTTTAGCTATTACTTATATTACCTTACGTCAACTTCTTGATACCAGGAAACGATGGCCTTATGGCGATCAGGGGATCTCCGTATCCCACAGGTTCTGCACACATATTGAAAGGGGAAAACTCTGATTAAACACTCCCCTATCTACTAAAAAGAGACCGAAGTGGAGTTGCATTTAAAGGAACCTGAGTTCAAAAACTGGGTTCTGCGTTGGAAATATCCCCGTTATCTGGACATATACGGTATACATGCTTCAATCAGGCAAATGAAGCTGTCATTCCACATTGACAAAAAATTACGTACCTCCGTCGTCCCACAAAACCTTCACAACTTCTCCAGATATATCGGACTGCAAATCACGCTTCAGAGTTATTAACATACAATCTGAATTCACACCTCCTACACAGATAACCTTATCTCTAGCAGTGGAGAGAAGGTTGTAATCACATCATAAATGATATCCTAAAAGTGCTTCCTAACAGTCGCTCATACTCAAAAAACTATCTTGAACTGGAATTATCGACACCGTGCTGAATTTGCAGATAGAGCAACTAAGTTTGCAATCAGAAAACCAATCAAGTTCTGAGATCATCCAGACTCACATGTCTCAGTAATCCTGGTGGTAGGGACCGGCTGAAATCAAGGTAATCATTCAGAGCATACAACAGCAGACTACGATCTACACGCCTACCTCCACTGGTTGCTGAGTCCCGAGTTGCTCCAAATAGCACACCACATGACCTTCCTTGATCGATTGGCCCTGCAATGGATCCGATATAGTGCACGATTTAGTAAGCTAGCTTACAGAACTCACCACAACCTAAAAGAGGTGCGTCTTTGACAGAGCTACATAACTAGCTTGCATTCGTCGAAGAAGTCTGAAATAGTCACGAGACATCAACGACAGTCAACGACAAAATCTTGCAGAATTGGTCAAATCATGAAGAGAATGATACCATATCAACCATAGCTTAGTAGCCTACTTTTCACCAATCCCTCATCTCCACGTTTTTACCTCTTCACACAACGGTGGACCACTTTTTCCCTTCACAACACGCCCTTTCCGAAAGTATCCAACCTGTCCACAAAAAGTTTGCGTTAAAACCTGTACAACATTGTAACAACGTGTAAAACTCATCCTGAGGAAATTAATTAAGCTGCACTCACTAATCCATCAGTCTAGAAACCACCTCGTCGTTTCGTGGCGATAGGGAACTACCTCATACAATCAGAACAAATTGGTGATCCCACAATAAGCGCTAGCATGCAGAGACAGGTTGAAAGACGGAATGGCAAGAATCAAAAGGCATGGAACTCGAAAAACCTTTGGTGACTTCACAAATAGCAGACCCTCGTCTGCTGCTGACTCCAACAGCGCGAACACGCTAGAGAGTGGCTTTGAAACAGATGAAAGCATCGACGTTGAAGTGGAAGTCTTAGGCGCAGAGGCGGGAGCTGGAGGAGCAGCCGGAAGTGAGTCCACCATCGGCCTAGATGGAACTGGTGGAGGAGTTGCTTGTGGAGTAGCAGTTGTGGACTTTATTTTCCCCACATCCCGCTTCACGCTCAGCTTGAAAGCACCTACCTGCAGGAAATATATTTTAGAACATGGTTTTTGAGGTTCGAAGGTAAAACAATTAGACCATCGAACTATACACATGAGTAGCTCAACACAGGCAAAAAAACAATTTTAGTTTCGAATAAGAAGTATCAATGTCAGACGATCTCTCTCCTACAAAGTAAAACCAATCGCTACGCAGATGATCCTAGCTTGTAGCTCGAGGTCTTTTACCTTCAGCTGAAGCTCAGCTATGCTAGTCTCATCACAGAGCTCCATGAGCAATGACTGCACCTGCAGATCACAATGCAAAACGAGATGAGAGCACTGCACTCTCTGATGTCGCTGCCTGCCAGTGTCCCCTTTTATCGAAAGGATCAAGCTCAGCTTGACGAGCATCGAATGATTGTTTCATTACCTCAAATGAAGTAGGTGTCAAGGGGCTGATTTCCTCCTCGGGTGCAGATTGTTCATCCTCCACATCGACCAGAGCATCTGTAAGAACGAATGGGTGTCGTTAGCCCATAATGGGAACCCAAGTATTCTCACTTATATCCATAACAGCACCAGTTAAAGACCCTGAGAAGGAGCAAGTGTAATGTTGAACTCACCTCCAACGAATCCTACTCTGCTGAGGAACTCTATCCCTAAGAGTGCTCAGAGTTCCTATATGGATCTCTATCCAAGAAATAACCTCAGTAAATTTTAGTTTTTCAACTTCTTGAAAATCTCCAAGAAAAGCCTAGGACCTTTTTAACCGCAAGTCAAGCTCCTAAACAAAGGAAAGACTCAGTCCGTAGCAAAACACCATTCTTTTCGATTCATTGTAACCAATTAAAAATACATTCTCCAAGGCACGAATGAGACTTCGAGTTTTCTTCGAGCTCATGATGCTCAATACAAGCTGCTCATTCCATGTTCGTCTCATGATACGAGTAGTCCTTGATCACACCACGACATACCATGTCTCAGAAAAAGGAAAAGCTTATCTACATTTCCGAGAACAACTTAGTCCTCAGTGAAGTAACAAATTTCGGTGTTCAAATTAAAGCAATGTGCTGCGTCCAGTTATGGGACTCTACATGACCCTTCAGTGAAAAAAACTTTTCAGAGTTGTTCCGCATCTTTTCAACCCTCCGCTGGAATGTACTCAACAAAAAACCAAACATACAATCCTCTGTGGACTTTTCTAACTGCTAATGTAGGCTCATTGATGACAAGGGCGACCATACACCACTTGAAGACTTCCAAGAAAGAGAATACGTTCCAAGCTTGGAAGGTTGGAAGGTTGGAAGGTTCCAAGCTTTCACAAACTTCACAGGCACTGACCGGATGAGACTGCGACACATGTCACAAGTGGTCGATGTTGTCGGGTAGACGTTGTCTGCCTGCGACTTGTACTAAAGCTAGGCTGAGCTTGTGCAGCCGATGAGCCACCTGCAGTTGATCTTGGAGAAGGCACATAGGCAGTGACTGGGCCAGAAAAGGCATCAATTCTGCCCACGCAAACATGTGGTCCAAATCTGGAACTCAATGATCCTGCGTCACAAAGCAAGTGCATTTCTCGTTCATCACGAAGTCCTGAGCTAACACGCTTGCATGGATGGTAAATTATTTTGAGTGTGCACAGCAAATTATTCAACCCACGTCAATACTCCGATTGAAACTCGTATCCTGCCGAAAATTCTACCTGGATGGGCAAGAAGGAAGACGAGGGATTTGAAAACTCGGAATGTGGAGAACTTGAAATTTCTACTCGATAGATGCACGAAAATGGAGATAACAGGACTAACGTGACAATCTCGGCGTGCTCGATAACAGTACCACGGGCACATGCTTCTCAAAAAAGGGATGTAGTCTCGACGAGGAGGCGAGCTATAACCTAGATGAAACCCAGCTTTTCATAGGACTAAGGTATCTAAATTCGTTTTTTTTTCCAAATTCAAACCTTCATACTTGAAAGTCGTACCGACAGGACAGAGCAATTTTTTAACCAACAAACACAAGTACTAAAATCCCGACTGCCGGATTTCAGAAATTCACAAAGCAGCACTAATCACTGACTCAAAATGAAACGCTTACACAGCGTAATTCTCAATACAGTGTGGCAGCTAAAACCACTGAATCTCAAAAGGATCCCTCGAAGGAATCCGGCTGAAGGCAAGAGAACGGAAGACCGAACCAAGAGATCTAGTAATTAATACCATTCCACTTCCGAAACAAATGCGTAAATGACAAACGCACAGCAAGAAAATAAAAACTTGACTCTAAAAATCGTTCAATTAAGCACAAACATTTTGGTCTGAAACACCGCAAACACCCTTCCTTATACCCCCGAAGATTCAAATCCAGCCCTCCGCCACAGGTCTACGAGCAGAACGCGCATTGCATAAACTGAGGGAGAGAGGATCTTCGTACTGGTGGCAAGGAACGCCATGGCTTCGCTCGCCTGGAATTCGCAAGGACGAGCTCACTCGACCGACCAACGCAGGCGGAAAAGACCAGCTGCAAAAAGAGGAATAATGCTCGCTCGCTCGCTAGACTGCAGTGGCTCTCGCGAACTCGCCTGACCTCCGACGATTCCCTTCGATGCGGAACCAATGTGACGTCCGAGCGAGGGAACCTGCTATTTTGCTGCCTCAAATGCCATCTCCATGTTCCGCGCTTGTCCTCGTCCGACTCCAAGATTTCTCCCCGAGCCTCTCGCTCTCTCCCTCTCGCTCTCCCTCGTATCGCCCCCGCGCCTGCCCTCCCCGTCCGCCCGCTGCTCGCCCGCGCGCCTGCCTGCCCGCCTCCCTCCCTCCCGCGCGTCTCTCGCAGGATTCTATTCGCTGTCGTGTCCCACTCCCGGAGCGTCGCCGCGAGCTCCCTCCGTCCCGACGACACCTCCCGACGGAAGGGGAGCCAGCTGCTTCGGCGGACGGATGATGCCACGGCCGACTGCGAATCACGACAAGTACGCAGACGACCATTTGCGTTCCCTTATCTGTATTAACGGATAATTAGGCGGTTTAGCCTTGGGATCCGACGGCTCGGGGGCCTCGCACTACGAGGGCCGTCCGTCGAGACGACCTCCCTAACCCGCGTCTAAACTGGAGTTGATCGGGCGGGTCCACCAGGGTTGACAAGAAGTGAGCGAGTCTGAGCTCATCCATCCCGGAGCGTGGGATTCAGTGCAAGAACGCACAAAAGTAACGGAAAGATGGAACAGCGCCACTCGGCGATTCAAGGCATTGCAAAAGCCGAATGCCATCGAATGACCGGCATCCTCGTTCCGAGTGCACGAGCTTCATTGGCCCTCGCTCGACAACGGGGGCCCAAGCGGGTACTTTACTGGCCCTCTCGCGCACTCGATGCACAGAAGATAGGTGGAAATTAGCATCCGGAAGAATTTGGGAAGGTCATTTCACCTACCCGCGCCTTCACATTCGATAGAGATAGAAAGAGAGAGCGAGGCGAGCGAGCGAGAGAAGCTTCCGACAAAACTTCTGAATCAGAGGAAGGGAATTTCATGTCACGATGACTGTGGAATATGATAGCACATGTCGGCTTTACAGGAGTTTCTTAACTTAATCGTTTGATTTTAAGTGTTCATTTGGAAATGTATTATTTACAAAGATCGATGTACAGGGAATATACATATATTTTGTGAATCCAGTTTTTTAACACTTTGATGGAGGATATCATTAGGATATCTTCATCGTCATGGGATTCTACTAGGAATAGAGTTGTATGAGAAAAAGGGTGGTGCTTGGAATGGAACAAAACTATCCACTTTGCAAGTTGTGATTTTTTGGGGCCTTATGTCTCACTCTCAGCAAAAGCATCCGGCCATCGAGGATTACTTGTTGTGGAGTGATTCCCCAGTCCTCAAAAACTAGACATTTTTATTCTTGCCTTAACTCCATGTCTCAAGGAAGCCTTGTGAGAACGAGTCCAGATTTAGCGTACAAACCACATCAATGTGGATCTTCACTTTGTAAAGCCCATGTACACTAGTCACCGTAATTAATTGTTTTGAGAACCTTAAACAGTCATTACTATTCAGAATATAATTTTTGACCCCACATGATACGGTATTTTGACAATTTTCCATACATAGTGCAACGAAAGTAACTACAACGTACATAAACTTGGAAATTTGCGTATGGAGTGAATGTATCTGATGCTCACGATACAGTTACATATTTCCTCCTCAAATAACATTTGATTCGGTTGTGTGACAATCATATCATGATGTCGTATGAAGTACTAATGAGTAAAGAAACAAGGGTCCAATGTAGTTGTACAGTTCATCTATTTACAGCTTATATTGTATGAACTCAACAAAATAAGCAGGAGCGTAAACTGATAAGTAGGAATGTAATTTACACGATAATCCTATAACAAGGATTATTCTACATAGTAATATATACAAATTTGCACCCTCAAGCGACCTTTTTAAAAACTGCTCATTGAAATATGCTTGGAGAGGGAGCACACATTCAACTAATTGATTGAATTATGACCTACAATGATGATGACATATCTTGTTGAAATGAATCACAAGTGGTTGGTTGCACCGTCCTCATGCCTGAGAACTTGACTTTAGTTACGGTTTTTTCTATCAACAACAACCATTTGTTTAACCGTGACACTCAAGAAATTCCATACGTTACAAAGTTGGAATGATTATTATTGATCATAACCTTAAACATGTTTACATGAATCACATAACGAAGTTGGTGTGCATGTGACTACACATTGTTCGGTGTATGTTTCAAGATTGTTGTATTATACTTTAATGAAAGGAACAAAGATCTGAAGACAACAACTGAAATTTTGAAGTATACATTGCTTGCGTGTATGCATTAGCTTGTACTTATCCTAAAGCTTATGTTGTCTGTTGTTATACTCCAATCAGATCACATGAAACTGCAATAGGCTTCAGCAATTCAAAAAAATACTTAAACGCCTAAAGATTACAAATTGAACTTTCTTCCTTTATCTGCAGTTATTTGTATCTCTTACAGAGAATCGATGTAATCCATTGAAAGCTTCACCAAATTATTGTTCAAACTTGGAATGTACTTTCTACGTATGTCATTTTGTTCCAAGTCAAAAAATGTTTATAGTCAGCAGGTATATATGAGATTCTATTTCAATCCTCACCTTCTGATTACTTCCTCACTTATAAAAATTAGTAATTTGATAAATCAGAATAGATCTAATTATTATATATCTCTTTTTATTTAAGAATTTCCTGAAAACATATTTGTTCGTTTTTTAGATTTTTTCAAGTACATTTTTTTACAGATTTATAATAATTATGTAAATATTTCATCAGTTGATTATAAATTTTCTAAATATGATCACATCATTCTTTCCATTTATGGATTTATTCATGTATGGAAATATGTAATAATACCTTTTAATAAATCCAGATATGATATATTCTAAAGGAAAAAAAAGATAAAAGTAGTATTGACCGTCATGTCGAATAAGAATCCGCAAGGCTAGATACCATCGCTACACAAGCAATTGTGAAGCATTGGCATAGTGAGAGGGTTTCCTTTTAAAAAAGGAAGCAAAAATCCAGTTTTGTAGGTTTCCACAACCCTTTGAAGTATGCATTCAATACGATGGAGACTTGAGCGGAGCAATTCAATCATGATTATCCTCACATAAATGGCTATGACAAGAAGTTACTCACATATGTGCCTCCACTGGTTCATGTATTTGATACTTTTCCTCCTATGAATCTCTTTCAGGAAGCACAAACTTGTAAGTTCAAATGATTCGAAAGCTGATTGTTAGTGTGCTCATGGCTAGGGGTAGCGTGTTCATTGAATTTAATAATCATCTTACTTCTTGTCGTGATGTTCTCGACCGGCTTGTCAGTTTGAAGCTTACAGGAAGTATATATATTCTATCCAATATTCCTAAGGTTCATGTAAAATTCATCGTGAATATAGCAATTCATCACTGGCTAATTTGATTCTTTATCTGTTCATTGTAAGTTAAATTTGTAAAACGATTCTGGTCCTCCTTTCAGTCTTCCAGTTTTGTTTTGGTTTTTTTTTTTTTTTTAAGATTCTGAGGGAATGAAATATCTAAGTAAAGTAATTGTATTAACACTATCAACCAAATTTTTATAAGAAGACTCTACGTGTTTCTTCTTGGAAAACATGCTCCAATCATTGATGAGAATGCCGTCAGATTACTGTGCTTGAGGTGACTACTCAGTTTGTCGTGTAAAAATATATTGTAAGATTTTCGTAGGGCTTTGAAAGGTCATGGTGTACAACTAGGCACGATAAGACAAAAGAATATACAGTGAAGGAGGGTCTTGAATAAACAATGCAGTTTAAAGACATATAGGCAAGGATATACCTAGAAAGGCTGAACTGTTCCGACCAGACGAAACCTTCGACAAAATATTGTTCCACGGGGAGGTACGACGAGATATGAACTTAATTACTTCATCTGCAAACTCAGCATATCATGTAAAGTTCTTCACTCTACTCGCACATGTAATCAATTCTATAGATGTGGAAATCAAACGAGTCAACGAGCTCCAAACACCCATTGATGCGCTGATTCTCATGCAATGGTTCGAACTTCTCCCAGCGTTGTGGTGTTCTTGGAACTCAGATTCCATATGGATTCCTTCCTTGTTCACGCCAGCCAAAATGTGTGCAGGAAAACCCTCAACTTGCTTCAGTGCAAGACATGAGCCCTGAGCTAAATCCTCGGAGCGAGGCAATAGGTAGGTAATGAATGATGGGCAGACATGAGGTCAAATGAACACGGAGGAAAATTCGGAGGCAAGAAAATGAACCCCTTAATCAGCCTTAATTAACCGTACCTCCTCGCCAACAACCAGGGTTTGGCCATGTGAACCTCCTGCTGGGCAGAGATATTAATCCCCTGCCAAGGAAAATGATACGAGATGAGAAGACCTGCAGCAAAGCAAAGTTAAGCATGTGAAAGATCGAAGGAAGGACAAGTGGTATTTGAAGGGCAGTCGGGATCTTAAATTTCCTCGTACGTGCTCATAAGTAGGTCGGATGCGAGTCATGTGAGTATGATCAAAGGTGCGCTTACTCTCGATGCTTTGCTCGCGCTGCATGGGGTAAATTAAAATACTACACGATGCAAATGAATGCAGCTTTGTGGAGCCAAACCATGTGGAGGCCATGCAAATGCCAAGAGGTAGGGGGTCATACTCACAATAAAGTTTCACCCCAAACCTCTTTAACTTGTGGATCATATCCTACCATAAACAAATACGTAGCACCGTGGAACTACAAGACGACCGGCTTGTCCGAGGTCCGCATTTCCGATCACCGAAAACTACGTGACATACATGTGCGCGAAATGTGGGCCAAATGCACTGTCGCCACCGGTCGAGCGCAGGAACGCCAAGTGCCGGAAATGTCGATGAATTTGGCCAGGAGTGCGTCGAAATTGGAAGGGAAGGAAGGAAGCGTCGAGGCTGATGGCCTTGGGTCGGAGGATAGAGAGCCGTGGATGTCAGAGGAAGTTCGGATTTGAAAGCGAGCTGAAGGAGGGAGAGGAAAGAATACGCAGAGGGGTGTTTTAGGAAAGGAAGGGAACGAGGAGTGGAGAGCACTTTATGTGCAGGTGAAGGGAGCAAAGTCCACGAGAGCGGAGGTGGTGGTGGAGGAGGGAGGGAAGGAGAAGGGGAGGGAAGGGACAGGGGAAGAGGAGGAGGAGGGTACAGTACGTTAGCACACAATGGCGGTGAATGAAGGTTGGAGAGCACTTTATGTACCAGGGAGAGTGCGTAAGATTCGAACAGCCTGAGGTCGGGTGCCAAGGAAGAAGGAAGAGGGATGATGAGTCCCGTGCGTTGCAGAAGACTAGTGATGACACTGTAGGAGGTTTGTTACAGCTATTATCTATCTATCGGTATTGGGATGTGCAACTGCATCAGTGCAACTTTGGGAGTTGATGGCAAAGTGACAGATCTGCGGCTGCTGCGTCTCTCCCTCTCTCTCTTCTCTCATAATGAATAAGTGAGTGCAGAGCAGCCAGCAATCTGACAAATTTAGGGACAGTAGTATATCGGAAGAAGAGGCTCGACTTTCAGGTCCGGGCCTGGTGCCACTGCGACGAAGACGACGCACGTGCGAATGTGCCCTAGATAGGAAGCGCAAAGCACGAAGGGCGAGAAGAAAAGTTGAAGAAGGGAAGCGCTCCTTTGTCATTCTCTTCCTGGCCCTCGTTCTCTTCTTGTCTATTGCTCCTGCTGCTGCTCTTCGCCGCTGCCGCTGCTTCTGCTCCTCTCTCTCTCTCTCTCTCTCTCGCGTCCCTCTCGAGCTCGCGTTCCAGGCCAGACCTGCTAGTGCGATTAGTCCTTGGACTCTGAAGGTTGCAGGACAGCAGTGTTGTCTCTGAGACCTGAGCGCTCGCTCACTCGAGCATTCGTTCTAAAGGGCATCCGGAGTGTGTCGAGAAGGTGGGAGCCGGAAGACTCAGGCAAGAGAGAGGAGAATAGAAGCTAAGGGAGGAGAAGGGAAGGAAAGGGAGACAGGGTTTAGTTTTATTTTTATCGGCCTCGATACACAAAAGGCCGGTCTGCGCGCAGCTCCACAAATTATCGTTGTTTTAACCACAGCGATGGCGGGGTGGAGCAGGACTCCGGAGATCACAGCCATGGCTCTCACGCACCCCGTGCCTTTCGTTGTCGTCTGCATTCAGTTGTGCTCTCTCTCTTCTAAAAATCTGGTACTTCCGCAATCAATTAGCCAAATGGTTCGACCATTTTACTTGTGTTTCAGTTTGGTGCTGTTTGATGTCTGTTACAATGCCGGGGAAGTGGTTTTGTGGGGCTCCACAGGAAGCTGCCCGCTTACCTCACACTTCTTACCGTTTGTCTGCCTAGACGTGTGTCATGGGCCTTCCGTCGCTGCACAGTTGCGAAAACTCAATTGAACCTTCTCTGCCGAGGCAGAGGAAAGGCGGATAGCAAGCAGCTGATAGAATTTGAGCCAAGTCGAAGAATGTTGTACTTTTGTATGTCATTGGAAGGCGCAATGGAGTGCCTCATCTCGGATGAGAGCACCCATGACTGTGTTCTGAGCCATGTTGTGTGTGTTCGTTTTCTAGCTCAACATCGAGTAAACCGTGGACATGGAGGAAAGGGTGGGGGTGTTGCCGCCTCCTGGCACCCCACCAGAGAGTGCCGGAAGAGGGGCGGCTGACCAGGATGGCACGGCGGTGGCTACTCGAAGCAACAGAGACACGATGACTAGCGCTCACATGCGTCGTAAGAAATGGAGTGAGGAGGAAGAGGAGACCTTGATTTCGAAGTATGGTGAGCTTTACCGGGCAGGTACATTAAATCGGTTGAAGACTCGAGAGAAGAAATTTGAGCCTATAGCTGCACATGTGAACTCGCTGCATCATTGCCAGGACAAGGTCTCCTTTCCCTGGGAATGGACGTGGCGAGATTTGTCCGTGAAAATTCAAAACATGAGACATCAATACCTTGGGGTGAAGCAAAAGATTCGTCGTCCGCCTGACTCCAAAGGGGTGCGAGAGCAGGAGGAGTATGACTGGCAGGAGGGCATTGTACACTGGTCCAATTTCCTCAAGTACAAAGAAGTGTTCGGAGACTTAGAGCTCGAGTCGAATGAGCTGGTGGCCCGAGGCGTCGGGTCTGCCACCAATCATCTCAAGTTCGAGGGAAAGGGGCAACGAGGTCGGAGCCGCTTGTCGAGCAAGTCCAAGGTGCGCCTGTTCAATGGGAACACCACTCGCCTAGCGGGCGAGGGCGGTGGAGGATCTCTCCCTGCAGGAGGGGTCGTGGATAGAGGAGACAAAGCGGCCCCTGGTGAGCCCGGCCCCCCTGTTCTGAGTCTGGAGTACGAGTGGGATGAGGACGATGACGCAAGGGACGACGATGATGAGTTCGGGTCGAAGAAGAAGAAGCAGAGAAGGAATCAGGGTAAGGTGTCCGCCGACAGCGGAGGGTGTGTTCTGTCCGAGGGCAAAATTCTCGCGTTTCTAGGAGCTTACATCGCAGATCAGAGGGAGAGGGAAGCTCAGAGGGAAGCGAGGGAGCGCGAGAGGGAGGACGCAGAGAGGGAGAGGGAGCGTAATAGGCTGGAACGTGAGAGGATTCGCGAGGAGCAGGAGCGAAAATCGGAGCGAGAGCGAGAAGAGCGAGAGAAGGCGCGCGAGGTGGTGGAGCGGGAAAGGTGGGAGGAGGAGAGGCAGAGGGAGCGCGTCTGGGAAGAGAAGAGGGAGAAGGAGAAACAGGAATGGAGGGAGCGAATGACAACACTGCAGCTCGAGCACCAAGCCTCCATGATGCAAATGCAAGCTCAGATGGTGCAGAGCCAACAAAACATGGTGTCGCTCCTTCTAGGCTTTTTCTTACATGGGGGCCAGGTGGGCGACAATCCTGGCCAAAGAAACTCCTCCCTTAGTCCTATAGCATCTCAGATTCTTCGCAACTTACAGCAATTATCTGGTGCAACGGGGCAAGGAGGCGAGCGCAAAGCCGGCATCGAAGCCACCACTCACTTCATCGTGGATGGCGAAGTATGCGTAACTGCTACTGAATAAAAACCCATACTTCATTTGAGAGAGCCAGGGAGGAAGAGAGTGAGAGAGAGAGTTGTCATCACGCAGTGCCTGACGTAGTCTTTTGGCGAGACAGACCTGCCGACCTTCAGGTGAGACAATTATGATGCTTATTACATACGTAAATATACATTAAGGCCCTAATACTTTGTGTGAGATATAGTAAGGCAGGACAGATTGAACATTCCTCAAAAGTTCCAGGTGTTGGGAGCACGTCAGCACATGTTACTTGAAGCATCTGGAGTCAGTCTGTACTGCATCGTCGTCTGTTGAGAAGAAGTCTGAACTAGTGGACCCCTTGTTAACTGACGCGCTGTAAGTTGAACGTGTGACCGAGTCTGTCTGAGAGCGGTTCCGGAGTGCGAAATTCGCTCGCTACTGAAAACGCAGACTTGCAACATGCGATGGACGGGTAGCATGGAAGTTTACCATGGCATAGAGGAGTCTTACTCTGGTCCTTTTGGTTTCAAATTTCGTAGTTTTCAGCCAGATTGGACTCCACTCGTCCTCTAACCGAATCTCATGTCTGTCTCCCCTTCTTCGTTTGTCCCTTACTTCGTTTGGGCGCACTGCTATTTCGGTTGTAGTAAGTCTTGAAGACTGAAGCATACGACCAAACTCATTTCCTTAAACTTTATTGTCATATTTTTTTTACATATTGTCCTGGTGAAATTCACATGTGATGGAATGCAATTATGCCGACATACGTGACGATACATCTACAAATGTATCAGATTTTCGTGGCTTATCATTGCCTTCATGGTTTAGTTGGACCTCGTTCTGCATCTTCCTGAATTATTAGGAAGAGCCCTAGGCTGTAAGGTGTTGTGCGCTTCAGGATATCCTCGTTCTGGTTGGTTGATTATCGACTTTAGAATTTAGTCGAGTTCTGTAGGAACCTGTAATTGGGTATGAGATTCACATATGTCAATGCTTAGGAGAAACCTTACAGGACTTTTGCAACGAAAAAGCTTTTGCCGGCAAGGTATGATGTAAGAGACCTCCAGTTTTGCAAATTTTCCGAATCAACAGTGTGACACTATCTCTAATTTAGCCCATAGATTGTTTCACTGAGACTTGAATGTTCATGGATATTATCTTGTAATACCGAAAATATCTCAATCGTGTGACGCATCTAGAATCTAATTCTTGCTGATGGTGTGTTGAAACTTGAATGATCCAATATGTAACGATACACACTCGGCATCAGATTTCCAGCAGTCATGCCCTAAGAGATAGCCTAATAGCCGAGGAATCTTGTCGTATAACTGTACTCATGTCAGGTCAACTATATCCTGGATATCTAGAACAAGCGAGGTTTGTCTCCGGATGCGAAGACGCGATGTCGCTAAGTCAGCTCCCTACGGCCTTGGATCGACTATGTAACCATGCTTTTGTCTGGAATTCTGTGGCCGATGGCAAGCAGAAGAGTCAAATTGTCGTCACTCCTTAGTTTCCATCAGCAGTGAAGAGAGGACCTTATTGCAAAAGTCTCATGTGAACTACCTCGTCATCTGTTACTTCCTGGACAGATGCAGGGAACCCCGTCTTTAACCTGCGAAATAGTCAGGTTGCTAAACTATGATGATGGAGACAAACAAAAACAATGCATACGCATTTTAGACGATGAGCAAAACCTCATGATCTGACAAAAGATACACATGCGAGTGGTTCACGTCATTATGTTCACGTCAGCGTAAAGCTAGAAGAATTCGGGTTAACTCTTGCACCGGTTTAACACCTGTCGGACATCTGTGTCGCTCATTCACACGTAAACGTCCATCTTGTCATTATCGGAGAATGTGGTTCTGAACCTCGATAAACACAATCTACACTGATATGGTAGCACAATTGAAATACAGCGTGGCTCACGTCTTGGAGAAACCGAAATTTCTGTCCCACTCTAAATCTCTCTCTAGCAGAGAACGTTAGATTCTGCCCACATGGCAGGTAGTGAAATGATCCGTCGTCGCTATCGAATGGTGCATCTGAAACGTTTACGCACATATTGTTCGCGGGGTTGGATATGCAAATTAAAATCTTGCAGTGTCACCGTTTAGCTTCATGTGTTACTGGTTTGGCTAGAAGACGAGGAAGAAAGACACTTTCTATCAACCAGAGACGGTTTAAGGAAGCATTTAGCAAATTGTACCTTCAGGAGTATGTGGTGTGGACTTCGATGAGAATTTAGCATTACGTGCGACCTTTGTCTGAATGTTCGTTCACTGATAGCATGAGGCGTGCAAATCATTTGTATCCATGTTCAATGTTCATTTAGGGGAAAAAAAGTCGGGATATCCAATTACAGTGACAAGTAGTACGGGATCTGCAGTCCTGCAGTCGAGCCAGTTGCTAGCATGTTCAGAGCCTGATCGAACGAGTCCACAGGCAAACAGCTTGGGGAAAACAACAACGTAACAAGCCAGGTACTTACATCCACCTGCTACGAGTAATACCACGTCACAAGGACTCTAATTACAAGATTGATGGTGACCACTGCTTACTTGTGCATCGAGCAAGGTGCGCTGTACACGAACGAATCCCGAGACTCTGCCGATAGTTATCAGTAGAATCTACCTGCCATAGTAAAATCTTCCCTGTACTGGTCCCGAACCTCGTGTCTTGGCTGGCTATGCTATACCGGTCCGAGCACGACTGACAGCACATAGGCAAAACATTCTGAACCTTACCGCCCCACCAGCACAGCACGCTTGGAGATTTGCACTCTTTGTAATATTTTCCACAATCCATGTATCCCACACAAGCAACGGTTTTCTTTCTCCGATCTCACGTCTCTGCCAGCAGATCGTGTCAACCAGCTTCATGTGATACACGCCTGTACATGTACATATATACTGTACAGTATGTCGACTCTGAACAGGTACGATCTATTTATCATCTAAACTAGGCACGGTAACTGGGTCGTCGTTGACACTCAACATCTTTATTGCCTTCTGGTGCCCCTTTGTCTTACTGTGCTCAAACAGCTTTCGCGTAGTGGACTTTCTGATTCCGTGTGATGATATCCATTTACAAGGTTGCATTAACATTCACATGTCTATTCCATGTAGGTCACCTCTTCTTTCCAGATATTTATTCCCTTCAGCGGCTCATTGATGTACTTGAGTTTTTCATTGTCTTTATCCATTTGCTTGAGTAGCAGATAATCATTTTCCAACATGGTTTCATTACCCTCCTCTTACTAGAAGGTCTAAGGGGATATGTGCCACTCGTATACTCGTATTCTAGACGTAAATATAGATGTTTGCTTAGAGAATGTCATCACTCTTGTTCTATCATACACATGATCGCTTTGTTGACGTTTATTCTCCTTGAGATTCTTTACTTTTCTGATTTATTCTGGCGGATCATTAGGGTGGACATACCTTTTTAGTCAACACAAAACAGCAGAGCTTTCTGGTCTTTTTATCTTTAGAGATTCATGTCTGAAAAAATCATCCTTTCTTTATAATTATCGGAGATTTACCCAATTCTACAAATTCCTAGTTTTGTATTTCCTATATTGTTTGGTCCCTCTTCAAGCTCGCAATGAAAGTCTATAAGAAAAGTGGTTTTTCCGGATATTCAACTCATATTCATGGCCGTTACCTTTATGAGTTTATGAATGATTAGTTGTCATATGTAGTCTGATGACATGATTCTCAGTCATTCTTTTGCTGTATTGTATTCGTATCGGCGGTAGAGTTCTTTCTCTCGTACATTTCTTTTCATTTGCGCCATCCTTATGACATCATATATAATCTCTTATTGGACGAAACTTTTTGAGGTCTTCCAAATATGTCCCACGTTTGTAGGGGACAGAAAAAGTTGTTTCACTATATTTGTCAACTCACCATTTTTTAAATCCTCAAAAATAAAACTCTCAACAGAAAAGTGCCTACGATTGCTCTTACTATGGAGTAGGTTGAGCTCTATGTCACTCGTGTAAACTGCGTACTCTCTTTTCCTACCTCTCTCTCAAATGTACGTGATACACATCTTATCCTAAAGCAATCGCTTCCTTTTTGATATTTTACTCGGTTATATATTACCAAGTAATAAACTAAAGCAACAAAGGGATTCACGATTTGAGAGGTGATGATTTCAGTTGACACGCTTAAATACCGCCTAGAAATTTCTTACACAAGTCAGATCTCGTGTATACATATTTCATGTTATTCTTTTCTCTCAAATTAAATTTAGCAACTAAAGTTAGTACACTTTGTATGCTACCCTGATTTATCTTCAACTTCGGAACTATTTCTTTTTCCACATAGCATGAAGGTGCTTGAGGTGCTATGCTCGTTGTTTAATCTATGAACAGCATGTAGAGTAGCATTTCACTTTTAGTTCTCAGAGTGACCTACCAGTTTCTGTGATCATTAGGTCTATTGAAGAATACCGTCAGCGGGTAAAACACATGTAATAGACACAAGTTGCTCAAATACGTTTTGGAAGTTGCATCTACAAATGTCCAGACCACATAGATCTCAATGACCTTGTCATGTATTGGGTGATGGACACATGTATGTATGTATATATATATATATATATATATATATATATATATCACAGAACTGTTAATCAATTTCGAATTCATTGCAAGTTCATAACTACTTTTACAGGTCGAGAGACCAGGTGATTTGATCATGATGAAAGATGAACTTTACGAATCTTCGAATGAGACACAAGTTTCTACTCATGTCATCATGAAATTATTTAACTTTTTATCCAAGTTCTAGTTTATATGCTTTATGATCACTTATGGATCATGCATCCAAAAATAATAGGGATCTCTCTGTTCTGAGCAGTGATTTTTACACAGATCCATAACATTCTGGATTGGTGATTTGATTGTCAGACAGTCTCCGACCATCTTTTCAGACTTCTTCCTCATTGAGATTTTATTCATGGCTAGGAAATATTTTTTCAAATTTTCAATGAAGTAGCTTCTTGGAATAGATCCTTGACATGACTGTTGACTACGAGCTCATGAACTGTAAACTACATACATATATCAGTATTTCAATAAATGAAATGTTTGACTACATAATTCAGTTTGGTTTCGGAACATGGAGATGTTCTCAATTGATAGTTTCAAATTGCGAACCCTCTTTATCTTAGCCAGTTCATTTTTCATATTCTTTGCAAATTTTTTAAACAATTAGTCGGAAACACACATTCCATATATATATATATATATATTCATTAACATTCAAGTAGATTTCAGTAATAAAAATATAAATTATTTTGTCAATTTGTCAAAAAATTTGGATTCGAAGTACTCTTTTCATGCAAAAGATAAATGTACTTGACATCTACGTTACATTGGTAATATATGATATTAAAAAGGTTTTGAATGGGCTTCGAAATCAACACTTGTTACGAATACTCATGATGAATACTTATAATCCAAAATTTGTGATAAAAATCAATGTTAAGGAATGAAAGGATTTTTTTTCATTTATAAATTTAAGAATATATATTTATTATTATCATAATAAATATCATCAAAAATAGAAATCATAGCAAATTTCTATAAGACTGCATGATAGTTAGTAAAACATGAAAAAAAGCAGAATTAGTAGAAGTCATGAAAGAACTAGAACCTTAGAATATATTTTTTTAAATGAAGATTGACTTTCAGTCAATAGCTTTCAAGATTTTGAAGAAACTCAAATAAAGAATAATTTTTTTCCAAATATTATTTTATAAGATGAAAACGTTTTCCAATAAAACTGAAATGAAATAAAAAATAAAAAATTCCTTCTTAATTAGTAAATTTCAAAATTTTAATTCACAATAAAATATAATTTTACAAAGTCAAATATATTAATTACAAAGATTATGTTTCTTATACATGCTTGAAAAAGAAAGATAGTCAACGAATATATAGATAAAAATTTGAGATTTCTGATATGAAGTTAATATCAGGTTTAGAATTACTAAAATAATTACAGCTTTATAATTTTCATAATATCATAATTATATCGAATAAATAAAGAAATATTTAAACATGTTAAGATTCATTTAAATAAAGCTTCATATCAGA